GTGTTCTTTTTTTGTTTTGTTTTTGTTTTTTGTTTTTGTTTTTGTTTTTTCTTCCCTACCTTTTCTTTGTTCTTTTTGTCTTTCCCCCCCCCCCCCTTCCTCCTTCAAGATTGTATTTGAGCAACCAACTTTATTAGAGATTGTCTAATAGTAGAGCAGGAAAACCTGGATGATCGAGGATCTCCATAAACATTGGGAGCTTGTGTGTCTCTTTCAGGTGGTCCTGGCCTTGCCCTTCCTGATGGAGAATCCCGTGGGGTACCTGTCCCGTTCCTTTGATTTGGGTCGTCAGTTCCTCTTCAAGTGGACCGTAAATTGGAGGTTCTTGCCCGAAGAAGTTTTCCAACACCGGGCTTTTCACCTGGCGCTCTTGGTCCTCCACTTCACAGCCCTGGCTTTCTTTGCATTAAACAGGTGGCACAGGTGAGAAGGGGCAGTTCGTGGGGAAGGATCTTGGGATTGCCTCAGGCTTTAAAAGAATAACAGAGTTGGGAGGGACCTTGGAGGTCTTCTAGTCCAGCCCCCTTCTCAAGCACACCATTCCAGACATGGCTGTGTTGTGATCTGCCAGTGCCAGAATCGGACAGTGAGGAGGTTGGAGAGGAAGATGGGCCAGTCCTGGAGTCTGGGGAAGGCTCTGATGAGGGCTCTGCGTCGGAGGCAGAGAGGGGGCCATCCGACAGTTACAGTCGGCTTTGGAGTCGGACATCAGTGGGGCAAAAGAACTGAGCCTGTTCCCAATGTGCGCATGTGCAGGAGAAGGGAACTGCTAAGGAACAAGGGCCAACTCGGGAGTAAAGTCACAGGTGGATGGTGAATGGCCCCTCCTATAGAAAATAAGAGAGGAGCAAAAGGGAAGTGGGCTTTTGCAGGAAACAATCCATTCGATCGTTAAGATTCATTTCAGGAATGTGAAGATCTGTCCGTGAACATCAGAGACTCTGTGCCCGGTCTTTCCTTGCACAGCACCTCATTTGGAAAATATTTACATGGCAGCTTTCCAAGATAGATGAGGTCTGTGGCCATAAATAATCCTTTGAAAGACTGTTTGCCAGGCCTTTGCTGAATGTGAATGAGAGGAATTCACATTCGTTTAATAAAAGGGGTTTGGTCGGGACCAGGACTCTGCCTCGTGCTTTTGGGGGAAGCCTAGGTCAGAACAGGCTGTCTGTCCAATCTCTTTTTAAACGCCTCCATGATGGACCACCTACAACTTCTGGAGCATGGTTCATTCATTCATTATTGGAACACTGCTATCATGTCATCCCTGGTCCTTCCTTTTCTACTTTGGTGGGAGTAATTTTAAATTTTCTACCAAGGCCCTCAGGGAGAGAAATATATTTTTGTTGCACTTGTGTTGGATTGGTCTTCATGTATCAAGTCAACAGTTCTGGAACTAAAGCAGGCATCACCCCAGGATCCCATATATAGATGAGGCTAATCCTGGCAAATAATCCACCACGAAATTAACTTTTTCTTACTGGTCCCCTACAGATCTGATGAAAGCATCTTGAGCCTGTTAAAGGATCCAGCCAAGAGGAAGGTCCCTCCAGAACCCCTCTCAGCAAATCATATCCTTTCACTAAAAGTGAAGTTTTCTTATTTGGTGGATGTTAGGGAAGAGTTGATTACTCAGTTATGGTCCAGGGATGTCCAACCTTAGCAACTTTGACACTTGTGGACTTCAACTCCCAGAATTCCCCAGACAGCTGTGCTGGCTGGAAAATTCCTGGGAGTTGAAGTCCACAAGCCTCAAAGTTGCTAAGGTTGGCATAGTTCCAACATCCATTGCAATGTTGTTAATAGTCCTTTGTGAATTTTGCACTATGCAATCTTTCCTTAACCGAAAGCCACAGGTCATTTTCCCTCTCTTTACCTCTAATTTCATTGGCGTTTGCTTCAGCCGTTCCTTGCATTACCAGTTCTACGTCTGGTATTTTCACACCCTGCCCTACCTGCTCTGGTGCACGCCGCCCAAGAAGCTGGGCCACCTACTGAAGTAGGTAACTTCCAGTACCTGGGAGGTGGGGTGGTGGAGCAGGGGTGAAATTCAGCAGGTTCTGGAGAACCAGTAGCAGAAAATTTGAGTGGTTCGGAGAACTGGCAAATACTACCTCTGGCTGGCCCCAGAGTGAGGTGGGAATTTAGATTTTATAGTATCCTTCCCCTGGAGTGTGATGGGAATGGAGATTTTGCAGTATCCTTTCCCTGGAGTGGGGAGGGAAATGAGATTTTGAAGCATCCTTTCCCTGGAGTGGGGAGGGAATGGGGATTTTGCAGTATCCTTCCCCTGGAATGGGGAGGGAATGCAGATTTTGCAGTGTCCTTTCCCTGGAGTGGGATGAGAATGGAGATTTTGCAGTATCCTTTCCCTGGAGTGAGGAGGAAATGGAGATTTTGCAGTATCCTTCCCCTGGAGTGGGGAGGGAATTGAGATTTTGTAGTATCCTTCCCCTTCCACGCCCACAAAGCTACACCCACAGAACCGGTAGAAAAAAAAATTGAATTTCACTACTGATGGGGAAAGCTAGAAGGCAAGAATCTTTTATCATATTTCAGAGTCTCTTCAAATACGGCAGCTTGTTCTCTTCATACTGGGAATCTTGTGTGTTAGGTGGGGAGGGGGGTGCACGTTGCGAGCTGCATTGCTGGTTTCAGTGGGAGTGAGTGTGTTGGTCTGTTTGTCTTGTTTTGTCTGTCTGTCTGTCTGTGGGTATCCAGCAGTTATCCAGCCACTGAGATTTCTGAACAATTCCTTCCCTGCCCCCATGAGAAGGAGGTGCAGGTAATCCTCGACTTAACAACAGTTTGTTTAATGATGGTTCAAAGTTAGAACAGCGCCAAAAAAAAAGCAACATGCGCCTGTTTTTCAGACTTAAACAATCTTTGTTGCATCCCCAGGGTCCCGTGATCAAAATTTAGACCCTTGGCAACTGGCTCGTACTTATGACTGTTGCAGGGTCCGGGGGTGGGTGGATGGTCATGCGATCCCCTACTGCAACAAGTCAAGTCAGTGGGGAGGCTGGATTCACTAAACCACCATCTTTCTAATGTAACATCTTCAGTGATTCACTTAGCAAGTATGACAAGAAGGGTCAAACTGGGGCAAAACTCACCTAACAAATGTCTCACTTAGCAACATAAATTTTGGGCTCAGTTACGATCATAAGTCGAGGACTGCCTGTACTTAAGATTCAGCTATTTCCCCCCCCCCTTTTTTTTAAATTTTACCTAAAGACAGATCAGTTTTCTCCCCAACTGGTAATTTAAGGTTAAACACACACAGACACCCATCAAACTGGTGCCCAAATTAGAAATACAGGCAGTCCACAACAGCCATTTGTTTAGTGACCAAAGTTATGGCACTGAAAAAAGTGATGTATGACTGGTCCTCACACTTACAACGGCATCCACACACATGATCAAAATTTGGGTGCTTGGCAACCAATGTGTTTTTATGACAGTTGCAGTGTCCTGTAATTATGTAATTATCACTATTTACAACCTGCCCAACCGGCTTCCAACAAGCAAAATCAAGTGGGGAGATTCACTTAATAACTGAATGATTCACTTAACGACTGCAGCGATTTACTTCACTAACAAAAAGTTGTAAAATTAGGCATGAATCACTTAACAAATGTCTTGCTTAGAGATAGTAATTATGAATCCCAATTATTCAGGATTACCTGTAAAACCTCAAATTTGTGAGCTTGGGGATTTGAGGAAGAGATGACTAATATTTCAAAATAGTACCAGCCAACCAAATCAAATATAATCTTGTAGGAGGGAAAAAATAGCACCGAACAAACTTAAATTTAATATCAAATGCCTTGCAGTAACTAAGGCAATTTTTACCAGATGTCTAAAGTAGAAGTGTTTAAAAATAATAAAACTTGACTGAGGCAGATTGGGAACAAAATGGCTGTTCCATTTAAAATAGTATCTGGAGATAACTCAATTTCAGAAGTTCCAACGGTGCTTTTTGCAAGAGGCAAGTGGACTTTCTTCATTTTTTTTCTTTGAAGACGTTTCGCTTCTCATCCAGGGAGTTTCTTCAGTTCTTCCAGAAGCTTCTTGGATGAGAAGTGAAATGTCTTCGAGGGAAAAAAAGCAAAGAAAATTCTGTTGCCTCTTGAAAAAGCCCTTTTGGGACAAACCATGACCTGGATGACTGACAATCTCCATAGATATCCAGTTTAAGAAGCTTGCCTTAAGTATGAAAAACGGCCATAAGTCACATTATTCAGTGCTGTTGTAACTTCAGTCACTAAACGAGTCACTAAATGTGGAGGACTACCTGTAAGGTTAACATGGGAGGGAAAAGAAGGCCCTTTGCTTGCATGTGACAGAAATAGCCTCTTTACTTCCAGGTGACTCAATGAAGTCTCGGAAATCCATCTATCCTGCATTTAATGTACTTACTAGCCGATAATCCAGCATTGCCTGGGGATTTATTTACAGGGAGAAAATGTCCGGACCAAACGTGTTGGATTTTCCCCCTTACCAGAGGGAGCCCCCTTGTGGAGTACTGTGAAGCCGTTACCATGGCAACTCCACTGCGCTACACAGTAGAATCTATTTTACGGCAGTACAGTAGAAGCCATTTTAAGGCACAACAGGCTGTATCTTAACAGAACACACACCCCAAGGGGTTTTAGGAGTGTCTTACCCCACAGTATTTGTTTCCAGAGAGTAAGTCATCCGTGTACCAGAGTTATGCTGGAACATACACACACAAATACAGCCATTTTTATATATATAGATTTTCACCGGAACGGGGAATAACAGAAAAACTCCTTCCTTTCCTATTAGCAGGTAGGTCACCTTTTTTTTAGTGCTTTAGCTAAATCATGGTTTTCTTTCTCTTGCCTCTAGAGTGCTTCTCCTAGGTTTAGTCGAACTCTCGTGGAACACATATCCCTCGACAGTTTACAGCTCAGCTTCTCTCCATGTGTGTCATGGGATCATCCTTCTGCAGCTCTGGCTTGGGACAATGTCTCCCCCGGAGGAGGAGAAACCGTTGAAAAAGGTGGAATGAAAACGACTTCAGAAGAAAGAGGGACAATTAAGAATTCGGATTAAGATTGGCCATTGCTGAGGACAACTGACCAGGGCCCTGTTCGCAGACCTGCCCGGTGCCAGATGTGCATGCTGGGCGATGCCCTGCCTTCTCTTCCCTGGGGCTCAAGAGTGGTGCCGAATGGGAATTGGCAGAGCTGATCGTCACACCAAAGATCATGTGGAATATCTTGAATAAAGGACAGTAATGGTTCGATATCAAGGCTTCGCTTGGCTGTAATTTATGGATTGTCATAGGACGTGATATCCTCCAGAGCAGCGGTCACCAACTGGTGGTCTGTGGACCACTGGTGGCCCATGAGAAAATTTTGGTGGTCTGCATTTTTTATATTGCACTAAATCAGGGGTCCTCAAAGGAGGGCCCCCTGGGACGGATACTTGCAATGAACGCTTGTGTTGCTGCAGAGAGTCTCCCCCTTTGGGGTCTTTTTGTGTGGGTTAGAGGGGGACAGAAATTCCAACTTGGGGTCTGCTTCAGTCTTCTGGTGGGGGGCTTTGGGCGAAGGCTGGAGGGAAGGGCCGCTGATGGCGAAGAGCTGGAGGACCTCGTTCCAATGGGACTATATCATGGCCTGAAACTGGCTGACCATCCTGCTGAGCCTCCAAGCGCCTTGCATTAGCAATAGCAATAGCAGTTAGACTTATATACCGCTTCATAGGGCTTTCAGCCCTCTCTAAGCGATTTACAGAGTCAGCATATTGCCCCCAACAACAATCCGGGTTCTCATTTTACCCACCTCGGAAGTATGGAAGGCTGAGTCAACCCTGAGCCGGTGAGATTTGAACAGCCGAACTGCAGAACTGCAGTCAGCTGAAGTAGCTGGAAAGCCTATGCTCATACTCCTCAGTGAGGAGCTTCTGCTGAGTCTCCTTCTCTGTTGGATCCAATTTGAACTGAGTTGTTTTGCCAACTCTTTCTCATGGTGGCTGCTCAGCTCCAGCAACTGTTTCCTCTTGGGGCCCTAAGGAACCCGAGCAGGGAGGGGAGGGGTGATGAGTAGAGGCTGGCAAAATGCCCCTCGATGTGAGGGACATCAAGTTGGCCATGCCCATCCAGTCACATGACCACATAGCCACGCCCACCCAGCCAGTCATTAAGCAGATCATATTAGTGGTCCGCAAGATTTAAAATTATCAATTGAGTGGTCCCTGAGGTCTGAAAGGTTAGTGAGCCCTGCTCTAGAGTCTGTTTTTATTTTAATTGAGATTTTGGCTTTTTAATATGGACCAAGCAGACTTCCCATGAGTCGTGGCAAGTCAGAGCAAGGTTTTTATAAGATGCCCTGTTGCAAATCGTGCCCTCTAGTAGTACAGGTAGTCCTCAAATTACGACCACGTTTGAGCCCAAAATGACAGGTTAAGTGACTTTAGGCTCTGTTTTATGACCTTCCTTGCCACAGTTGTTAAGTGAAATCACTGCAGTTGTTAAGTTGGTAACACGGTAGTTAAGTGAACCTGGCTTTTCCGTGACTTGGCTTGTCAGAAGGTTGCCAAAAGGTATCTCATGACCACAGGACACTGCAACCGTCATAAATATGAGTCAGTTGCCCAGTGCCCGGCTTTTGATCACGTGACCATGGAGATGCGGCAATGGTTGTAAGTGTGAAAAACGGTCATGTCACTTTTTTAGTGCTATTGTAACTTTGAACAGTCACTAAACAAACTGTTGTAAGTCGGGGACTACCTATATTCTACTTGTTGTATTGTAATAGGAAGCTATTTAATAATAAGACAGGGTTTTATTTTCTTTTGACCCCCGAAATAACTGCTTGGCCTTATTTTTGGGGTGGTATTGTTATGTGGCGAGTGTGGTCACCTTATGGCTGCTGCTGTGTTGTGTGTCACTGGGCCTGCCGCTCTTTTTTGCAGCGGCCATTTGCATGACAGAAGGGGCGCGGGGGCAAGGGTTGCGGGAGCGGCCGTTAGGTAAGGGCATGTGGGGTGCATGTGGCATGTTTCCCCTACCCTTCCCGCCTCCAGGCTCCCCTCCCCACCGTGTGTTGTTTGTGTAGCAAGCAACCAGAGGAAATGGCGGGGACCGGCTGCGCATGCGTTTAAATATTTTCGAGGAGGGCTTATATTTGGGGGAGAGCTTATTTAAGCGCATGCTCTCAAAAGCCCGATTGGGCTTATTATCTGGGAAGATCTTATTTTGGGGGAAACAGGGGGTCCTGAAAGCACCAGAGGCCACCTTCGAATGTAGAGGTTCTCGGAGGAATTCTGGCATCCTTTGAGGGTGCTGTTGAGAGTTGGATGAACGCCCGGAAGATGTGGGTCATCAAAAAGAGAAAGAGGCGGTAAGTGATTTGGCTCAGCATGGATATAAGAGAATATTTCTTACATTCTCTGAAGGCGAGCAGGTGTCATTACAAGTTGCTTCCATTGGGCAAACTTTTCAGATTGGATTGATTGCTAAAATGTTCTGTGGCTGATTTTGAGAGTGATATTTTCCACCGTGCTTGTCAAGTCTACCGGATATCGTATACAAATCTTTCTTTTTTTTCTTTTGAAAAGTTTTATTTTTATTTTTCCATAACAAATCTTTCTGTTCCAAAATCACACAAAGGACAGATGTTGAGAGTGGACAATTTTTCAGTGAAGTAATCCTAATCCTCTCTTAGTCCCTCAAAACAGGTCGCCCTTGGCTGTCAATCATCCACTCGGTGACCATTCGACGGTACCAGGCAGGGCGCTGAAAAAAGTGACTTGTCACCATTTTTCTCACGCCTGTTGCAGCCCCCCTACAGTCATATGGTCAAAATTCTTGGCAATCCTGGGTTTGTATTTCTGACAGTTGCAGCATCCCAGAGTCATGCAACAATTAATAGTTGCAACAATTCACTTAACCACCATTGGAAAAAATGCATGACTCCCTCAACAACTGCCTTGCTTAGTGATGGAAATTCTGATCCCTACTGTGATCCTCAAATCAAAGACTGCGGGGTCCTTGACGCTTTCTAAGCTTGGATTGTTCTATTGCAGACGTTTCATTACCAAAGTAGGAAACATCATCATGCACTGGCACTGATGTTGTTACCAAGTTTGGTAATGAAATGTCTGCAAGAAAACAACCAAGCTCAGAGACCACACATCCCCATTCCTTCCTATGCAGAAGAGCAATTCCTCCTCTTGAACAGAACAATCCTAAAACTGGCCTGCAAGGGTAACATACAGGTAGTCCTCGATTTACAACAAGTCACTTAGTGACCGTTCAAAGTTACGATGTCACTGAAAAAAGTGACTTATTACCATTTTTTTCACACTTTATGACCATTGCCAAGCCTCCGAATGTGAATCACGTGACCCTGGGGATGTTACATGATTCACATTCGGAGGCTTGGCAACTGACTCACATTTATGACGGTTGCAGTGTTCCCAGGTCATGTGATCAACTTTTGTGACTTTCTGACAAGCAAAGTCAATGGGGATGCCAGATTCACTTAACAACAATTTACTAACGCAGTGATTCACTCAACAACTGTGGCAAGGAAAGTCATAAAATGGAGGGAAACCCACTGAACAAGTGTCTCGCTTAGCAATGGGAATGTTGGGCTCAAGCGTTGTAAGTCGAGGACTACTAGTTACCTTGATTGTACACTTTTCGTAAAGTGGCACACCAAATGGGGGTTGAGAAGGGCCTTGGATGTTTCTTGAAGATCTCCACCATCAGCAAAATTACACAATTCCCAGCCTGTGAAAGGAATAGAGACTCTGGAATCCGTTCCTCTTTATTGGCCTGGTGGAAGTGACTGCCTGGCCTGCTCGTCACATGTTATTCGGGTTGTAGCACAACATGTTCAGCTTGATGTTCTCGTCCCAGTGGCGGAGCAGCAGGAAAAGTTGGCGGGCTGCTCCTTTCAGGGCGGCCACATCCAGGCCTTCGGGCAGCTGCTGGCCACGTAGCCAGGAATCCGCTTTAGCCGCCAGCAGCTCCCATTCCACAAAAAAGCCGGCGCAGCGATGCTCGAGCCACGCCAGAGCCACAGCGGTGGCCCAACTCGTGCTCTCTAAATCGCCCTCCTCCGCCTCCAACCTGGCCTCCTGCAGGCTGAGGCTGGCTTCTGAGGCATCCGGCGAATGGTCGCAGGCATCAGTTTCGGAGCCCCTTCCGCTGTCGGCCTGGGCCCACACAACAGCGCTCAGGATGTCTGAGCAGGTACTGGGCGAGTGCGGGGAGTCCGACTCCATCACCTGCTCTTTGCTTGTCCTGACTCCCTCTTCGTTGGCTTCTGGGGGAGGCTGGTTGACTGGTGGCTTGGGGGGGTTCTTGGCGATCAGAGCCCATGGAGAGGTGCTGGAGGCAGGGCTCAGGCTGGCCCGGTGGGAGAGATACGGAGAGGCCCGGCACAAGCGGTCCAGGGGGATCTGCACCGCTTCGGAGAAGGCCTCGTTCAGGTGGAACATGCCTGGGGCTTGCTGCAGCTGCACCTGGGGAGGTACGGATGGAAGAGAATAGCTCAAGGTTGAACCCTAGAGTCCTTTCATTCTCTCTGTGCTTCATGGATTGAATGATTGATATAAATATTTTATTGATATATCTTCTTAACCACCCATCTCCCTCAGGGAAGGGCACGAGGCCAGTGATGGCTAGCCGTTTTCTCCTCGCGTGCTAAAATTGCATGCTGATTTCCTCGCATGCCAAAATATGCCCACACCCATAATGCAATGCGCCCCACTCCCCTGCACATGTGCGTATGACCCCCCCATGCTCCACCCTGTGCATGAGTGTGATTCCCCCCGCGCTCCCAGTGCACCCCATTTTGGGCCTAGCAGGCCTCCCTGAAGCCTCTTACACCAAAAACAGGGTGCTGGGGGAGTGCCCCGCACCTTGTGCGCCACACCCCGTGTGCTCCCCTCCGTGCATGCGCACACAACACCCCGCCACCTGGACATGCACACGCAACCCCTCCCACACATGCACATGCAACCCCTTCCCCCCCTTCACATGCACACGCGTCTGCCGCATGCATGGCAGAAACTGAAAAATCAGCTGGCTGGCAGGAGACATGCACGCTTGTGCAGTGGAGCTGAGCTGGGTGACGGCTTGCATGCCTGCAGAGAGGGCATGCGTGCCATAGGTTGACTATCAAGCCTCTAGGTGTTGTACAACTGAATCAATGAAACTTAAGCATTAAAAACAACAAATTAAGATCATTGAAAATATATATATATGTATAAACCAACATACATTTACAAGAGAGAGAATTCCAAGATGGGGAAATTAGCAGCCTTTCTTGCAGATGTTTCATGACCAAACGTGGTAACATCATCAGTGACCTAGAAGA